GTGAGCTTAATGTCTCTCAAATATATATCATTTCCACTTTAAACACAGCCTCCTGTCCGCGTTGGAGATCACCCAATCTGAAAAGTGTTTTTTTTTATTTTTTATTTTGGTTTAATCTGATTATCTATGGGTGGGAAAAAAAAAAGTTTACAACAGTCAAAATGTCAGGAATATTACCACTGCACAGTGGTCACTTTAGATTTGATAACTTGAAGCGCCAGTTTTTTAACGTTTTTTTTTTTTTGTTTTTTGTTTTTTTGTGCGTGTCGCTGTGTTTGTATCTTAATTACTTGACCTAAGGTTGTCTTTTGCTCCAGCTTCCTGGTCGTATAATTGAACTGTATCACAAAATTAAACTTAAAAAGGTTCTAAAAACGGTCAAAGATGGTGGCAGTTCTTTCCACATGTGATGAGAGCATTCTGACCGATACGTTTCTGGCACTTCTGAGTGTCTGCTAACATTATTCTACATTTTTTACATTTTGTTTTCACATGCTTTGTATATTATGGGGTTTTTATGATAGACCAACATAAAATAATTCATGATTTTGAAGCAGAAGGAGAATTACACATTGTATTCAGCATTCTTAGCAAATGCAAACCAGAAAAGTACAGGTTGAATTTATGATCCAGGCCTCTAAGGCTTTACTGCATAAAAAAAAAAAAATATAATTTTTTTTTTTTTTTTGCAATTATAGAAACAGCTGTATTTGCATTTTCATTTGTTGAAAAAAAATAAAGACAAAATCATTTTTCTTCTACTAACTTCAGAATTATGTGCTACTTCTGTTGGTCCTCATAACAACCTGAGAAGAAATAAAATGTATGGGTGTAAATGCCTGAATACTTTTGCGATGCGCAAAAGATTTGAGCCGTTTTTGTTGTCAGTTTATCTACCAGGAATCTTGATTTGTCTCTTTGCCATTTTGAATTTAATGTCAGCCATATTTGTTCTTACAGGTACCTGAGTCAGCCTATGGTGTGTGTGTGTGTGTGTGTGTGTGTGTGTGTGTGAGTGTGAGTGAAAGACGGGGACGGAGGCTTCAGTATGTAGCTCTTCACACTAAAAAGAAACTCTATGACAAAGCACGGTGCAACATGGACGCTCATGCCTCTTCGGGACTGACTGGTGGTGAAAACTGTTGGTACTGTGGATGAAACAGAGAGAACAAAAAAAAAAGATTATATATAGATATATGATTCTATATTGTGCAGAATATTTATAGGCCTTTTGTGCCATTTGAAGTCATGCTCTGGGCTGGCACCGTCCAGCGCTTTCTACCATGTGATCATTATACATCGTCTTGTACTGATGACCCGTGGTTGATATGATTGTTTTTTCATGTCAAGTGCATTTTCCGCAATAAATGCCTTTGTTTTCAAATTTAACTCCTCTTGTGTTTGTGTTTTGCTCTCCTAACCGCCGGTGGCTTTTAAAAGGACGGTGCAAATGCAATATGATTTAAAGAAAAGCACATTTGTGTGCTCTGATATAAAACAAACACATTACCTGTTTTGCCGCGCTCGGGTTTCCCTCAGAGGATTCATCCTGAGAATCATATCCTGCCCTAATTAGAATCATCCCTGCTTACGATGAGCTTGTTATGAGAGACGCTGCAGGGATAGTTGTTTCACAGAGTGATATTGTCCTCATCAGAGGAGACATGCTAGAGATGGATGTCTGTTTTCACCCCCCTCCCTACGATCTTCTCTCATCCTTATCCACCTCCCATCTTATCAGTCTTCCTTTTTCTCCAACCAAACACTGGCATGAATGAGGTGTGTAATTTGTAATATCAGAGCATCTCCTGCAGCCCCCCCACCCCACCAAAATCCATCTCATGACATGACAACCTTATCTATCCAAAAGTCAAGGCCGTCTTTGATCATTACCTTCATTTGCATTTAGAGTGACCGGCAAAACTGTTGCCAGGAAGTGTGTGTTGGAATGTGCACAACACAGAATTAAGAAAAACTCAACTTTAATGCTTAAAGGTTACATTAAGGATGAGCAAGCGGTTATGTTAGGTTTTTTTTTACAGGGCTTAGATAGTGTTTCACTTCCTGCAGTTATTAAATTGTTTTCCTACCCTTAAACAAGCATTTGCTGTGTTTTGGATCAGAGAAAAGCTTCTCCTCTGGGCGTCCTCCTCCCTGCCTAACAATAATAGCAGGGTTGCTGCAGGCTCCTGCAGGGAATCAATCAGCAATCCTCAGCTTTGCACCAGACCCGTCTGTCCACCTGTCTGTGCATCGGCATTTAAGTCACTTGAAGGGCAATGGAGCTGGAGGGGTGAGACACTGCAGGGTACAAACCTACCACACAGAACAAGATAATCTTTCTGTTACTGTGTGTCCTCGAGAAAATAAAAATAAAAAAGCATGAAGATGAGAGCCTCTGCAGCTCTTTGGATCAAAAGGAAAACCAAGAAGCCTTCTAACACATGCTGGAAATACCAGAAAAGAAGAACATTGTTTGGAGATAAATACCATGTAACTTCATTTGTTTGCAGTTAGGATTTTATTACATTTAAAAAAAAAATTCTTTGCATCATAGTTTCACTCCAGTTTAGATTTTTTGTAGCCTTTGTTAAAGGTTTTGGGTATAGATTGTACCCTTAAAAAACGCATTCACAGTTGTCGAGTTTTACCATGTTTGGACATAAGACAGCTGATCTTAGTTTCTAATGTAGGAGTAGTTAAGTTTCATTTTCATGGCTGATAAAAATATTTTTTATTATTTCAAATAAAAATCTCCAAGCAGGTTAATCCAATAACATCCAAGAACAGTGGTTCTGTTACTTTTTCTACAGAACACCAAAAATATCTTTAGATTTCAATGTTTTGGCTTCCATAACTCAGTCAGGTTTTAATTTCTTAAAAGAATACCATAACTGATAAACAAGCTCACTCTGTTACTACTAACGATGTCTTCATCATATGCTTGAATTGAGTCGCACTTTGACTCCTACCAGAGGAAAAGTTTGGAATAAAAGCTTTTTTTTTTTTTTAAGTAATGCATGTCATTCATCCATTTTCCGTCACGCTTATCCCAGCTGGGGTCGCGATGGGTGCTGGTGACCATCTCCAGCTGTCAATGGTAGAGGCATAGCTAGAACATTATAATAAGGGTGGCCAAAAGCAGATAGGCGCCAGAACCTCAGGGTCCATTTACACCGTTCCAACAGGAAAACGAACAAGCAAAACATCCATATTTTCTAAATAAAGACTAACTATACTTTCCTACAGCCTTTTCTGACAAATAGATGCATATATTTAAACATCCATGCTGTTTTAATTTAAGTTGTAGTGGAGAAAATTCTTTCAGGTTCAAGTTCTGGGGCGAACAACTTATTCATTGTCATTACCAACATACTTTCATCAATAATTGTTCTGCATAAGATTATTTACATGTACTAATATCTACATTAAATGGATTATTATTAAAATGGTTATTTATATTTCACTGAAGACTCAGAGATCACTTGCAGAGACATAATTTTCTCTTTAACCCATATAAGACAAAATCTAGTTCTGAAAAGAGCATGAATTCTGTATTTATCATCTTTAATGATAGTATATTGAGGAGCGTAATTAACCATGGGGTTTTTATTTTCAAGTAATTGTTAACATATGAAGAATTAAGATGTTAAATAAAATACAATATTCCACTTGAGAGTATTATTGCTGCCACTGTCTGTATTAGAGGGAAAAAATGGTAGGGGTGGCCAATGATTGGCTAAGGGCCCCCATCTAGCTCCGCACCTGGTCGATGGTCAAGAGGGGAGGTGCATCCTACACAGGTCGCCAGTCGATTTCAGGGCGCGTGTCATTCATCGTTTTTAATAATGAAATTCAAGCAGGAGACCAACACAATGTGTCGAGACAAAAATACAAGGATTTATTTAAAAAGAACAAAACCAAATAATACTGTTTATTCCTTATAAACAAATGTAGTAAAACTAGAGTATTTGTGGCAGTGTGTGGGTAGTGTATTTATAAGGGTCATACACTTAAGGCACTAACATGTCAGAATAAAAAGTCTTAAAGTTTAGTTAAACCATACTTTGTTGGAAACCAGCACCAAAGTGTTTTAGCTCTACAGTAAAATGAAAATCAAATTTTGAATGAAAAAGAAAAACAAAATCCTTCTGTTACTTTTGCTCCCTCAACATTGATAACAATATAATGCATAGTTTTCCCATGATTTGCAGCAAAGATTCATCATTTGTGGCAGTAAAAATAAAAAGGGAGTGAGAGAAACATTTTTATAAATAGGTCCTGTAACATCTTCCATTTCCAAAACAAATAAACTAACACTAGTTTCAGGAAATCCTATCTATAAATGCACAGTTCCCTTTGGAAACAACTACAGAAGGAACAACCAAAAAAATAAAGGTTTGCATATAAAACGAACTGCAATAAGAAAACAAAAGAAAGCATATAATGCCCTTAGAATCATTTTCAAACTTGAAAGCGCTATGATGACTTAAAGAAAAGGTAAAGAAGGCAGTTTGAACCCTTTTTAAACACATTTCAAAGCAGAGGGGGAAAACAAGCTGGTGAGTTTCAATCCAGCCTGAGACCGAATTCAGCGTTTAAATGATTCTACAAAACTTACCTTAAACTCTTGTATAAAAAAAGCTAACTTACAAAAATGATATGGTTGTATTGTAGTGGATTGGCAACACATTAGAACAAGCAAAAACAGGTCTGAAAAAGAACAGTGACATGAAGAAGCAGTCAGCTAACATAATCAAAGATGTCACCAAAGGTGGAGTTTTGTACCTGTCTAAGTGATGTGATTTGTAAACATTTAAATTTTTAGTATGGCGAAAGTAAAAAAGTCATAAAAGAGGATAAATACAAATAAAATAATAAGAAACACAAAATCCCTCGGAAAATCTTACAAAAGAGATTAAAAAGACATCAGAGGATAGTGTAGACAAGTTTTTGGAAGCAGTATTAAACTTTGGCAACCCAAATGTGCTGGTTTTTCTTTTTTTTTTCAAGGCAGTGTTGTGGACTGGCTGGAAGGAATGGCAGAAGGCCACTGGTTACACTGGTCATAATGAGGTGCACTTCAGATCTTCAAAGTCTTCACATGAAAGCAGAACTAAGAGAGAGAATGGAAAAGGACGGGTTAACATAAAAACAGCAGAGGTTCCTTTTAATTATCCAACTAAACAGACTACATGCGACATTATCACCTACTTCTTACGGTCCTTGTCTTTCTTGCCGTTGACCGCGAGGCTCTGGCCCTGCAGCAGCTGAGCTGCAGTTTTTCTCTTACTGAATGAACTCAGGTCTTCGTCCAAAAGGCGCCTCTTCTCCTCCAGAGTTGCTTTCTCATCGGCATGCAGACGCTTCAGCTGCTCAAAACGACTCTGCAGCTAAAATAGAAGAAAAACTAAAGTTTTAGAAAACAAGTAATATGGAAATGGCTTTTCTTTCCTTCATGCAGAGAGCAAAAAATAACCTTTTATAAAATGCCAATCCAGCAGTTATACATTGTCAGCCACTTTATTTAGATGGTTTCCTTTTCTATAGAGTAGTAAACATACATACTGTCGGTTAGCAAATACAGCAACCCACCTCTCTTTCAGCCTCCTTCAGCTCTGCTTCCTTCTCCTTCACCCTCTGAACAAAAACCTGCCGCATTTCATCCTCTCTCTTCTGCAGCTCAGCCAGGAACTCCTGACGCTTGGCCTCATACGTCTGCTGCAAACTGTGGATACAAAATGCGTCAAGGAAGTTGGCAACGTCCGCCAGGTGCTGGGGTGTGCGTGTGTGCGTGTGTGTGTGTGTGTGTCAGAGCATGTGAAGTATGGTGGAGCGCAGAGCAGTTTTCAATTCAAAGGCTGGAGCGAGGATTTTGCTCCGCCCCAGTTCGCTCCGATGCGCTCATAACATCAATTAAAATTGTTGGATTGTAAAATTTGTAAAACAACATTTATTTGATTGAAGTGTGATTTTGTTCAGCAATAATTAAATGGGCAACACGGGGCAACATGAATGGAGCGAGGTGTTAAATAAGACAATACATCATTAAATCAAACGCCGTTTGTCCCGGGCCCTGGCATCATTACATGGAGGAATAAAATCAGAAAATGCCTTCTCCTGAAAATTTGAGCGAGCTTGGAGCGATTTTGCTGGAGTGGCAGGAAAATTAAGGTGAGCGTGGAGCGGATTTTGAGCGGAGCGTTCTGGGACAACTTTGAATGGCAGAGCGAATGAGCGAACATCCTCCTGAGCGGGGAGCGGGAATTGTGCGGCGCTCCGCTCCGTTCACATGCTCTGGTTTGTGCGTGTGGATTGTTTACCTGACAGGTTTGCACTCGGGGTCGGTGTCCTTAAAGCCCATCTCCTCCAACTTGCAGCGCCGGTAAAGTTCGTAATGGCGTGTGTGGGTTTGCTCTCTCAGGTCCTCCATGTTTACACAAATGAGCATCTCCCTCAGCTTCACGAAGTCGCAGTGCTGCTCGTTTTCCACTAGGAGATCATTTGTGAACAATCAGGTTGTTTCAGCTGCCTTAATACAGTAAAATCACCACAGCTTAGTGTTACGGTAAATCCAAACAGTCTACCTTGAACAACGCCCCATGGATACTGGCGAGCTTTCACCATCTTATTGCCAACACACACCTCCTCTGTGCTGCCTACGACAGCAAACGGGAGATGGCCCTAAAAATGTAGAGAATTTACTTAGTTATGGCAAATAAAATTAAATCATGCCAAAGCTTCACAGCATAACAGATGAAGTCATTTTAAAAACAATAAAACTTGTTCACTTTCTAATCTAAATATCAAAGCACAAAATGGGTCTTTGAACACATTAAAGCTTCAAAAAGGAACTTTTTTATGCTAAAGTAAAAGTTGCGTGTTATTTATCAGGTCTTATGTATTTATCAGCTTTAAACCTCCTAGGTCTTTGATAGAAACCTATGAATCCAGGTCAATATTTCTTACATTCATGGTGGTGTTGACTTTGGCCACGGTTTCGTCGTCCAGAGGAAACTGGTAGATCTGCACGCCGTTGCTGACCAGTTCGCTCATGATTTTGATCTTGAATTTGTGCAGCTCGCTCTTACTGATGGTGTCTGCCTTGGCAATAACTGGAATTATGTTCACCTGAGAGAGAGGAGGGGGGAGAGTCACTGCTGATTAAAAGACAATATAATAATAAGAAATCGCTCCATGGAGTCAGAAAACGAAATCAAAGCAACACATCAGTGCTAGCAGAGTCTACAATGCTGATTGGTGAGGCGTTAAAATCAAGGAGTCGTTGCTAATCAAAGAGGAACGATCAAACAATTAAAGTGTTAAAACTACCGCATTTATTGAGCACTATTAAACTGTAATCTGCTAAATTAAATATTTTCTCATATCTAATTTTCTTCTGCTTAAAAACCCTGTTAGATCCAGAAGTGATCACACCTCATAGAAAGCAATCTTTCTGTTACCAACAGCAAATATAAATAAAACATGAAAAAAAAAACTGATTTGAATTTGTTTAAAAGGAGTCTGGGCCTGCAACTACAAATTATTTACTAATTAATTATTCTGTGGGCATTTTTACAAAGATCTGTTAATAATCAGTTAGTTTACATATAGTGTTTTAAGTCCCCATGTTTGAATCCCAGTTGAAACAGGAACATTGTTGCTTGTTCTGATGAGTAAATCATAATGACTGTGTGATGGTGACCCTTGAATAACAGAGCAGCTGAAAGGACACAAACTACAGAACACATTTACAAACTTAGGTTCTTATTTTAAATGTGTGAAATGTTTAAGGCTGCAGCTAAATATTATTTTGCTAATCAATTAACCTGTTAATTATTTTATCGATTAATCAATTAACAATGGGACAGAAAAAGATTCCTTTACGAAGATTTTTTTACAGAATTAAAGCAGGTGAAGCTAAATTTTTCCACTTGAGTTCTAGATGGAGCATATTGACAAAGACGAAAAAAAAATTGTATCTCAATTTTGGTATAATTACTGCTCTAAGTGGGTTCCTCTGTGAGCTAAAGACATGTTTTAGAGGCTATATACTCTAATTAATTAATTAGATGATTAATTCAATAATTGATTAAATAGGATTAATAAGATTTTTTCCACTCTAGAAATGTTTATATATATTTTATACCATTCTGGCTTCATTACTCCCCTGAGTGGGTTGATCTTTCAGCTAATGTCCTTTCTTGGAGTCTATTCACTCCAGTGGACAACAATTCAGCTACTAAATTGGTTGACGATTGATTCAGTTATTGATTCATTTAATTTATAGTCTCAGCCCCAAAGGAGATCACCTTAACGATAATATAAGAGGCTTAATTTAACTTCTTTGATTTAAACAACCTGAACCTTCCTTCTGAAACTAAAACTGTTTTCAGATGTTTGTTATATAAAACATCTTTCCTGTGTTGTTTCAGGCCTTCCAGTTCAATCTGGTGCCAAAGTCATCCCACATTCCTCCCTGTCATCTCGCCGTCCCACAGAGGAGCATTGGAATGAGCTGCTGCCACTGGGTCAGACCACACAAACACACACACACACACACACACACACACACTGATCGTGGTGGCGAAACTAAACGATCCAGGGAGATCTATTCCAACAGCTGCCTGAGCGACTGACTGTCCGTCACTACGGTGGACCCAACAATTGGCTCTGTGTGTATCCGTACAGTGACACAAAAGGACAACTTGAGTGCGTGTGAGGTGGTTACAGCACCCCCACCCCCCCTTCTAATCCTTTCATACGCAAATCCAGAGTTATTGCCACTGCAGAGCAACAAAACCACACAGAAACACACTCAAACAGGACAACACACAGAGAGAGCATGGGAAAGTTTCTGACCACTTCAAGACGGGTGGGGTGGGGGGGGACTGATAGAGATGCTCTCCAAACATTCACACCATAAAACCACCACAGCATAGTTTTATTATGCTCTCATTGGTTCCCCTTTTCTCCAAGACCCATTGGTTTGATGCTGTTTTATTTATCTGACAATTTGTTCATTCACTAGAAATCTCAACATTTCACTTTTGATCAAAAACAAAAATGAGGTTCCTCTTGGATGCATGTTTCCAACTCCTTTAAACATGGAGAATGTTTGATAAACGTCTGAGGTTTAATTAAAGCCTATTCAAGCAGCACTGTCCACTAAAGTCTGATCCATTTTTTACCTTAGATGTCTTTATCTTTTTTTCTATAAAACATGTCTGGCTAAGTGGATAGCTTCATTGACATTCCGACCGAGTCAGCGTAGGACGTTAAAGGGTAGATTATACTTCTGCAACCGCACACATCAAATATCGCTTGAGTCTGGTCGTGAACCAGTTTTGCTGGTACGCTTCTGAACCGTCGGTCTGGAATTTCTAGGGATGCACAGCAGTTTCCTGCCAAAGCACAAGGGGGAGCCTATTTGGGAAGTCGCGAAAACTTTGGCGGATGGTCATGAGAACTTTGGCGGTGCCGGCTGGAGTGTTTATCTTTCAAAAAAACAATAGCGCATCTGCAAGATATCAAGGTCACGGAGATGGATCTAGAGTTGCTAGATATCAAAGAGGAACAGGTTCTTAATGGAGATGGTAAAAAGACAAAGGAGGATGCGTAGCTTGTCCATTGTAGTTGTTCCTCGGTTTTTAAACATGGCGCACCCCAGCACTGAATCGAGAAGGACGACCACGCAGACAGCTGGAAAGGCATACCAAGAACCAATCACAGCTGCTTTTTGTCTGCATACTTCCGCTTGAGGTCTGTGCGAGTTTGCAACCGTCCGACACATAGTCAGGATTTTTTTGAGGTGCGCAACGCTGGTTGCAGAACCTCTGCACAAGAGGCGTGGTCGTGCAGAGAGACAGATTTGACGGCTGCAGAGGCTATGCATCAGAAGCATAAATTGGCCTTAAAAGACAAAAACCATGAAGCTGCATTTACCTGCAGCTTCAATGTGAATTGTCCAGTCTGCTCCAAGTGTTCTGGAGCAGAAACCATGAATCTCTGAGTGACAGCGGAGATGTTGCTCTTCTCTTTTCAAACAGAGTTTAATGTCGATCCAAAGGCTAAATAATCAGTGGGTTATTTCTTTCAATCTCAGCACCAAGTTTGTGGAAGTTCTGCATAAACACAAAGGCTGGAAGGATTCCAGGATTTCCACGTTTCTGATTCCAAATGTTATATTTTTAAACCCTAAGATTTGGGATGATTACTTTTCTGATTTTTATGGGAAAATTGTATAAAAAGTCTGAAACATTAGAAGAATAAAAATTTTTTTACAGTTATTTAAATTACAGATTATCTTCTTTAGAAAGCAGGAGAGAACATTTAATCCTGCAACACAACAACAACAAACACTTTTCCTCTTCTATCCAAACTACTATATATGACTTCTAAGCGCTTTTGGTGAGTCCCATACTCTAAAGATTCATGTAAAAATAAAGAACCCTGAATAATTGAACTGAAATCATCAGAATGTGTTCATAGTGAAGCCTAACAGCTTGCTTAACTTTCCGATAAATCGACAAAAATTTCTTAATTCTCATCCAAAGGATAATTTGGTCAGGCCAAGTTTTCTTTTTGTTGCATTTGCAAGATAAAATCTGCCCACAAAAGGGGGGGGGGGGTTGATGAATACACATATGCTGACAAAGAATAAGGCCACTAAACTGAGCAGGGCTATAATAGGAAGACAGGTATCAAACAAAGTTGTTTTATATCTAAACACATTAAGGTTTCTCATGCAGTGGGGACAGGAGGGTGGACCAGACCAACACCTTATGCCAGCGTACATGTTTGTTCACTCCGCCGCTCACTGAGTTCATCACTTGAAACATCAGGCAGAATTTAAACATAAAAAAAAAAAGCTTAAGTCCAAATCCAGCTGACTGCAACATTTAACCAACTTAAAAAACTATAGATATCAAAACAACCACAAAGTGAATTCAAAAATATCTGCATACTTTAATGGAACTTAAAAAAAAAAAAAACTGTTCATTTTCCAGTGGTTCTATTGTCCGTCCTTCATGTCCGCTTCTCTTTTATTCATTCACAAAAATCTTACTAAATCATAGTGTGCACTTATCATTTCCACTCCAGCTCAGCTCCTCTGCCTTTTGTGATGTCATCGACCCAAACATGCATACATTAGAAGTTTTCTTGTGTCACTTTTTAAACATTTTCTGAATTCTTGCACTAGAAATTCAAACTTTGTCACCTTTTCTGCTTAAAGTGATCAGTAATCTTTCCTAAAAACAAATCATGCAGGTTTATTTCCTACCTTGCTGTCCAGCTTCTTCATTGTTACAAGGTCCAGAGATTTGAGCGAATGGCCCGAGGGGGAGATAAAGTACAGACAGGCGTGCACTCGGGAGTCATGGTAGTTGTGCAGAGAGCGCTTGATTTTTAGCTCCTCCTGAAGGTAAGTCTCAAATTGCTTGTCAATGTAGTCCACCACTGGCTGATAGCTACAGGAAATAAAAAGTTAAATCACGTTGTCACTACATTGTAAAAAAAAAAGTTACTTTTACTGTATGACAAAGACCCCCCCACCCCTTCGCTGACAAACCTTTCTTGTTTGTTCATCTGGTCCCCAAAGCCAACAGTGTTGACCACAGTGAGACGAAGTCTGACGTTGCTTTCCTGCAGGTCGTAGGTTTGGGCCCGCAGCTTCACTTGAGGTTCAAAATGGGATGACTCAAAGTTCTCAAAGTTGGTGTTAAATAGGGTGTCCATCAGTGTAGACTTGCCGATACCGGTCTCACCTGGAGGAGGAAAAAAAACATCTGAATATTTCAGAGATTTCTCTCATGTGCCAACTGGGATTTTTTTTCTGTTTTCTTTCCTTTTGGAATGAAAACTGAATGCAGCACTTTTGAAATTCAATAACAAACTTCTTAATTCTGATATACATCTTGAATTTTGTATTTATTGGAACAACATTAGAAAAAGATAAAATTACTAGTAATATTATGAAGTAGATGTGTATGATATAGTACCGATGCAGAGAATATTGAAGCAGAAGCCCTGTGTGATGGACTTGTTGACAAGCTGATCTGGAAGACTGTCAAAGCCTACATGGCCAGCGAGGGACAAAGGCCGGGTTCCTTGATCCTGTCGAGGAAATTACACAGGAAAAAGATTAATTTAATTATTTTGAAAATCAGACAATTTTTCAGTTCATGTTTTTCTAACGTCTGTGACAAAATGCCAAAGATAACAGTTTGACATTTTGAAAAGTTGTTTCTATTTTAATATTTCACAATCCATTCATCGTTAAACTAAGAGAAAAGGGAGGGAAATGACAGGTCAAACATGGGATCTGCAAATACTTGGCAAGTATGTCTGGAGGAAATTAAGATATTTCCTGTAAAGTCAAACTCTGTCCTCTCTGACATTTTAGTGAACTAACAGAAAACATACTTTGGGCTGCCAGTAGCAAAACACCAAAACACACTTAGTAAGTAAACACATTAACCTGTCTTTAGTGCATATAACTGATTCATTTTAAAGCTTTGAAGGGCTTTGATTTAACCTTTCATGGACAATTATCTGATGTTTGTCTTACAGAAAAAAAACAGTACCCCTAAAAAAGGCAACATTCAACTTTTATTGTCAAAACCTTGTTTCATTGCATAAAACTTAAAGCAAATTGTCAAATTACAACAATATCATGTATTTAAGAAAAAAAAAACAGTTAAAAAAATTCTCAAAACAGTTCCTAAGGTTTTAAAGTATATATTGCCAATCACATTAGTCTAAATCAGATACATAAGTGATTAAAAATAGATAAAATTGCACACTACATGTCAGAGCAATATACAACAGTAAATGCTTGTTAAATTAAAAACAGATATTTTTCACTCCTGTAGGTTCCAGTTTTAAGAATCCCATATACAAAGTGCTATTATCATCTTTTTTCTCCCATTACTGGATCTTTGGTCAAAGCAAAATTTTTGCTGACAGTAACATAGTTTTAATGCAATAAAGCCATATTAGATTTTGTGATTGGGGTCGATAAAATTCTGCATTCAATTACTTTTTTTGGTTAATAACTAATCTCTGAACCTATAATCAATAAATACACTTAAGAGTAATCACTGAAAAGCTCCCTTTATTAAATGATATTACTTTTTAGACAGTGTACATGTTTAGTATTTTATCAACACCCTGAAATAGTCCAATACAAGTTTCCACTCTGCATTTTATTTTATTCAAATAATGGTGGTTTAATGCAGTGCAAGACCCTCTGCCCTTATCAACTGTCTTTAGTTAAGATGCCTCTAAATGGCTAATTTTATTCTAACCTGTTTTATTTATACGGTTCTCTTTACTTACAAGATGTAACTAACTTTTAAACAAGTATGGGAATATTAACGTTTCTTAACAACAGTACTTCTATTAAATAAAGCTCAGTTTAAAATTCTAATATCTAAAAATAAGGATTTCCTGACACTTCAGTGTTATGCTAACAAGCTAGCTCTTTGTTTTGTTAAAGGAATATCAACTGCATCTTTATTGTCAAATAATGATAAGTAAATTGGTCAAAAATAATATGTATAAGTCCGTGTGTAGTTTAGCTGCGTTGTTATGAGCTGCTTTAAACTTTTATTATTTCCTGGGACGATTTAATGCTAACGTTAGCTAACTTAATTAGCCACAGGACACTCCCTGTTCGAATGTCAAGAACATTCCTCTTTAAAACACAAAATAAAATAATCCTCACCGGCTGACGAGCAACATCCGAGGAAGCCATGTTTAAAGGACTTCAATACCCTAAAGAAATAAAAGAATATATTTATATAAAAACTGAAAGAAAGAAACTTTCACCCCTCAGATTCTTTCCAGGACTGCCTATGCATCTACCGTCGACAACTAGACAGACGAGACCAATCCAAACAATTGGGGGGATTAAGGAATATTGTGCTTCTTCTAAAGTTGTCTTGAAAATGCGGTTGCCCTTTAATATTTCTAACCAGATGCCGTATGTTATTTAACATATATTAACATTACATGTACCGGAGTATAAGTCCCGAAAACGCGAAATCACTCGGTCAACTCAAACCTGCGCACACCTTTTTGTAAAGTGGTACAGACCGGTTAGTTTTCCCAGGCGCTCCCCATTCCTGTGACATGTTGCAGGTTCAATGAAAAAATTAAGGAGAGTAAGGAAAAGGATTAGGGCCACTAAAAAAACAAAACAAAAAAAGTTAACTGATTTTAAAACTTTATTTCAGTATAATATGAGAAAAAAAT